CTCAAGTCTCTATTCCTTCTGTCTTTTGTCCAGTGTAATGTGAGAGAACAAGGATGTTGTGGTAATTTTTTATTGGACTTCAGTGGTTATTATGGGGGATTATTTTTGTCCAAGAAGCACGGGTAGCGTGTGTTCAAGGGACTAAATTAGTTATTGTGAACAAATGTAATACAATGCATGCAAATGTATTATTCTTTAATTAGGAATGTTTTCCTATTGTTTCTTTTCATGCAACACATGTACTTGCAATTCTTTTCTTTTTTTTCTAATCTCGGGGAAACTGTATTCTTCTTTGATCAATGGCAGCCAAAAAAGTTGCTACGACAACATAAAACTTTAACGTTCATGTTGAAGGACAGGAAGAGTTGCTTGTCAACAACTTATCATGGTACTAGAGCATGTAATAGATCATGTCTTTGAATCTCAACACCTACCCGATAATTATAATACTTGCACCTCTTTGGCCTGCTTTTGGAGGAGAGTTTGGCCACCTATTAGGGGCTTGTTGAGGATATAATTTATAAATAGTGAAGTCACCACTTTGATGGTGTTTGGGAAGTGGGTTTTTATGTAGGTTTTTTTAGATGTAGGATATTATTGAAGAAAATTTTTTTGTGTTTGGGAGGATAGTTGGATTTTTTTGTGGTTGGATGTGATGTTTGTGAGAGAAAAAGTGAAATGATTATGGGGTTGGATGTAATATTTTGTTTGGATGTGTTTTTTTTGGTTTTGCAAAATTTTTGTCTTTTAGTGAAAAAAATGAGAAAAAACCCAACTAAAATTCTTCCCAAACACCACCTTTCTCCAACAGTTTAAGCTTTTAGATGAGTTAACATTTATCAAATCATTTTGTTGAGTTTTAGTTAAAGGGTTGCACAATAGAAATTTGTCATACTTCAAAAGAGGGGTATGGCTTAGAAAATATATAATCTATATGATGTAGTATAATAAATAGACTAACACTATGTTTGGGAACTTAGGAGAGAAAAGAAAAGAAAAGATTATTTAAGTTACAAGAGAAGAGAAAAGAAAAGAAAAGAAATGATTGTGATTTCTCTCCTTTTTGTTTGGATAAGGAAGAAATAAAAGAAAAGAAATGATTGTCATTTCTCTCATTCTTGTTTGGTTAAATTTCATTAAGAGAAAAGAAAAGAAATTATTTTATGTTATATTACCAAAGTAACCTTTTTATATTTTCAATCATTTTATTTCTTTTATTTTTATAGGGACAAAATTGGTATTATAAAAATAGTGATTTCTTTTCTCTCCCAATCTCTCCACTTTTGGGAAGATTGAAAATGAGGCTTATAAGAGAAATGAGTTTCTCTCCATTTCCCTCAATTTCTTCCCATTTCTCTCCACTTAGGTTATCCAAACAAGTAAGAGAAATACATTTCTCTCCATTTCTTTTCTTTTCTCTCCAAATCACTCAATCCAAACATAGCGTAAGTGTTTGTCAAATAGCTTATTAGTTGTGGTATATAAATAGGTGATGTAATACTACGCACGGAACGATATGTACGGAATAGGTGCTTCATTTCCTTGCTCGAGAACAAACATGATTCTCTCAACTTAGCCGTCTACAAATACATAGAACTTCATCCTTGCATCCTTGGCTCAACAACCATAGGTGTGTGATAGTTGCCAAAATGTACACATTTAGGCCCCTTAAGGTATATACTTGTTAGGTCCTTTAATCATTGTTACTTGATGATTTCAATATGTTAGTGTATTTGCAGGTCACTCAAGTTTATGAGTAGAAATTGGACTTAATTTCATATTTGAAATCTGAGACCAAGCTCGAACTCAGCTCTGCAGGCCCAGAAGAAGCTAAATAATTTTAATCAAGCAATAAAAACCCAACCCATGAGATTTGAAGAAAGAAAAGTCAAAATTTTTACAATTCCGCTATAGAAGTCACTCTGCACAGCCTACAGTATTTTGAATGTATCTGTCTTGTCCGATATCAGATTTAAGTGATTCAAGCGGCATTGGAAAGATAACTCAAAGGGCTACGATTTTGAGTGAAACATGAATTTTCAAATTCTGACTTTTAATAGGGCAAAACAGGCCAACAAGATGAGTCTAAGAAGCTGAGAATAATTACATCCGAATTTTCCATTCATTTTGGGAAATTCTAACCTCTTGGGTATTACTTAGAAGGCTTCTAATGTCTATAAATATAAAACCCTATTCATTATTAGGGGGTTCTTGATTTTAGAGAGAGAAGGCAGAGACTACAAAGGCATGTGCGGCTAAGGAGCTCTCCTCTTAGGGTTTGGATGAAACCCTAGTCAAGTAACAATGTTTTGTATTTAGTTTGGGGTTTTTATTATTGATTCAACAATAAGAAGGCTTTTCTATATTATTACTTTGTTTTGAATCTTTCTATCTGGCACATGTTCTTAGTTTTTGTGATTCTAATTGTGTACTTATACAACAGTTTTCATTGATTTGCTTTTATTCGGTTAAGATAGTCTATGCTAGGAGAGACAATTCGTGCTAGTACTAGATAGTCTATGTTAATCGTCAAACTGCCAATTATCCTCTAGACGATACTGTTGGGACTTGTAGTCACTAACGGATCATAGTTGAGTTGAATAATAAATCTGTAAACTGTTACAGTTCATTGATTACAAGGTCATGGGGGATCCGAAACCCTGAGTCTCTTCTATTTTATTGATACTAGTTTAATTATATTTATTTGTTTAATTTAATTAAGCTCATACAAAATTCTTCTTTTCTACCTTTGAATTGATTTAAGAATTAATCTGAAATTTAAACAACATAGCCTTTTAGTCCCTATGGATCGATACCCAAACTAAGTCACTATTCTATTGAATTAAGGTACTAGTAAGGATTTATTTTTGGTGTGCAAAACGACCTACCAATGTGTCCATATCCTCTCACTAAAAAACTCGAATAGACCCCCATTTCCAAACCCCTTCACCTCTGACCTGTATACTCGTGTAGAAGAGTACACATTCTGTCGGAATGAGACCAATGGTTGGCAAATGACATCTTCCAAAGCAAAGCTAAGATTGACACAATGATAGGATGGACCATTTATCCACTAGGCAAAACCATGAGAGTAGTTGATCACGAGCTAGAATTCGGCATTGCACGAGTTCTTTCTTTCCTCCCTTGGCACAAATGTGAACTGAGCACACAAGAAGCAACCTATTCAACTCAAAACAACTTCGTAAAGGGGTATGAAAGAGTCCTGACAATAAACTTCAAATAATTTCTTTGAAGTTGTCAAAAATTTCAATGGCGGCTTGTGATGTGACAAGTTGTCCACACATTTGCTTCAACTCATCTTTTTTATTATGAATTTTGATTTGGATTAGTCAATGTCCCTTCCAATTGAGAACTTCATCTCAGTTTCTTCACCCAAAGTCAAAGCATAAGCTCTACCACGGCCATCTCGATGACCTCGATCCCAATTAGCCATAACCAAACAACCTAATATGACCCACAAACAACCTAGATATGACGATTACAGAGATCACAGTTTCAGACCCAATTTCACAATTGAGGACAACTCAATTCAATATCCATTCACAGCACTATGTACCAGCAAATAATCAAGATCCAATCCAATCCAAGAATCAACAATAAGATAGCCACATCGCGAATTGATTCAGGACAATTCCAATTGAGAAGAAAACTGAGTCAAACATACCAAAATTGAATTGAGTCATGTTGATCAACTTGAAAAATAGAACTAGGTCATATTTTGAATCACTTCTGAACTATGAGATCAAATCTTTGAGTTGATTTTTTTGGTAATCTGCAATCGCAACTTCAAAAGAAGACAAGTTCACTACTCCTGACATCAACTCATTGTAGAGGGTTGAATCGCAACTTGCAATTGATTGTCGAAGTCGATTCACAACTTCGAACCCAAGATGTAGAACCGAAGTGGTACAGGGAGTCCAAGGGAGTTGGTTCACAAAGAGTTGTGATACCTAATTCAGCGATGAACTGGAGTCAAAGGACCAAACCCAGATCGAATCTCATCTTGCAAGTTAGATCCCAAGGCAAGACCAGTAGAATTCGAAATCTGCGAACTTGACTCAATAAGAAGATTCAAGAACTCTAGCAAACGCAAACTCAAATCAAAGAGCTAGGTTGCAATTGCGATGAACAATAGCAACTTCGAGTTTGCAATGGGTCTTCAAATCGCAATGGGTCTTCAACTTCGACTTCAAAGAAATTCTAGGTTTGAACTTCGGACCAGATGAGACCCAGAACAACTGAACAAAAAAAAATCCCTCTTTCGTCCAGTGGAGTCAACGAAGCAATCTGGTCAAATCGTAATTTCTACTTAGACTTCAAAGAGATGGTTATTCCTTGGTTTCCTGACATATTCAAACAAATGAAGGGCTTCGAACTGAGATCTGAACTCGAACGAAGGCTTCGAGATCTTGCTGCGATGTTGAATCACCAGCATGAAAGGTCCAAACGCAAGTCGCGACTACGAAATCTAGGGTCAACTCTTGATTGTGATGTCAAATCTATGGCTTCGAATCAAATCGATCACACTTGCGATGGCAACTTCTGGTGAGATGATCTAGGGTTTAGATCCAGAGTCAGGCGTGTTGCTCCTTTCTAATTGACGAGCTCTATGTACAATTAGAAACAATGAAGTACAAGATCTTATGCTCTGATACCAAATAATGAAATCCAAATGCCAAATCAAGATCAAATTGAGAGAGAAGACAAATGCCCTAATTAGGGGTAAAACCCCTAAGGGCTAGAGAGAGAGACTAAGCTCTACTCCAATCACAATATATATTCTTTATTCCAAAACTAAGTACAATGGGTATTACATCACCTGTTTATATACTACAACTAAAAAGCTATTTAACAAACTCTTAGTCTATATGTTATACTACATCACTAAAAAATTGAAATACAGTACATTCCAGACCAAATGAAGCCAATTATGGGTAAACAAGTCTTCATTATATAAACATAATGGCAGTAGGACACACAGGGTTGTGCATCTCTTCACTCAGCCCAAAATTGACAAGAATTGAATTGACCAACATTGAAAAGTGATGTAACAGGAAGGAACAGGTCCAAGCTGACATCAAACACAAATGAAGTCCATAAGATCTCAAACACCAAAAAAAAGATCCTAACATCGCAATACTAAAGCATAAAAGCACTTACCACCGATCCATATAAAGTGAGGTAGAAGACATTTTTCCTCCCAGTTGGTAATAATTTCATCCCCTAAACCAATTTCAGCAGCAGTCCAATGAGATATTTCATCCATAAATTCAGAAGCAACATATGAAACTAGGAAGTAAAATGTTTTATAAAATTATAGCATTTGCATACAAATGATAGTAAACCCATGCTCCAACAGATGTAGCACTAGACGAACGATAAAGAAGGAGAAAGAGGAAGAGAAGAGAAGTAAGAAGAGTATAAACAGAGGAGAGAAAAGGGAAACAGTTCCAAAGCAAAATCAAATATATTCAATAATCAATATCCAAATCAAATCCGGTAATTCATTACACCAAATCAAACTAATAAGAAGAAGAATCAAATATATTCCCCATCACCAACAATTCAGCCAGCAATAAAAACTCAATTGAAGAATAATGAATCTAACCCAAGTCATAATGCTAAGTTTTCCTCTCATAAGAAGGGTAACTAGGCCTTTATGTAGGAGGATATTTAGCGTTGAATGAGCATGGAAAATTGAGAGTTGTATTTGAGTATTTTAGGGTTTTTTTTTTTCTATGTGGTTTATTCTTTTTCTTCAGTATTACTATTCGTCTTTTCCAGTTGTTCTACATCACTTAGCCCCAATTAACTAGCTTCAGGTACACGAATTTGTTTTCTCCTATCCACTCTATTCCAATCCATATTCTTAATAAAGTCTGAAGCAATCGTGTAATTTGTCACCGCCCCATCCTATGTCACTCTATTTTTATTTTTTTATTTTTTTTGGATAATTCCCATCCAGTGGCAGAGTCAGGAATTCAGTGAAAAGGGGGTACAAATTAATAACAACATTGATTTTGTTTTTTTCTCATAATAAACAACAATGACATATTACTAAACTTAAATATTAAGAGCCCATTTGGATAAATGTGAATTTTAAATTAAAGGATTTGAGGTTAAATTTTATACAAATATTGGGGAGTAACTATTTTAGGTGGATTGGAAATTTTTTAGTAAATTTTATACAAAAAGATAAGTTGAGATACAAATAATAGATTTTAGTAGAGAAATTCTATAAAACACACTGCAAAAAAGTGCCAATCATATGCCGCAGTTATGATCTTTGTGGTCTTTAGTTATTACACATTGTAGTGTTAGATATAACTTAATTATAACTTCTTGTGGTTGTTATTTTGGTTATGACTAAAGAGGTCTTTGGTTATATATCAAGTAATGGTTAGTTATGACTTATTCTGATATTAGTTATGACCTATTATGATTTTTTTTTCCTTTTTTTTTTCTTTTTTTTTATAATTGAAGATGTATTGCTTGGTTATAATTTACATAGTGGTCATTTTAGGTATGAATGAAATAATTTGGTTATGAAAATTTATAATATCAATACCATAAAGTCAAAACTTGTATATGGTACACCCTTTAAGAGGTGTATAATAGAAGGACTCATTTTAGTAGGTTCCTTGTAATTAGAAGGAAAATTTATAATAGAGGGACTACTACAATTTTAAGAAGGGATATTATTTCAATTTTATGGACGATATATATGATATAATCTATATATATAGAGGGGTACTATTATAATTATCAAAACTTCAGGGGCACATGCCCCCCTGGCCCTACACTAGCTCCGCCCCTGTTCCCATTCTATGCCACTCTTGACCTTCCTCATTTCTTTTTGACACCATGGACCCAGATCAGATCACTCTTTACCGGAACATTAATTGGTCAACATTAAACAACTACTACTCATTGTATCTTCAAGAAGTGCCACTCTAAATTATGCAATACAGAGACAAGAAGACTTTTCCATCCTCTTCATCATTTAATTCTAAAGCTAGAGAAGGACAAAAATCTAAGCCCTATTTTTATTTCTTATCATTTCTTCTCCTTTGGAGAGACCATGAAAATATAAAATCCACACAGGTTATAAGATTTTTGGTTGTTATGGATCATATCCGCCAATATTACCGATGAATGCCTGTATTTTCTACAACCAGATTTTTGTCAAAGGTTGCACAGGTTTCATGTTGAAAACATTTCAAGATTTCTGTACAACTAAACAGGCCAACAACTTTGATTTTTGTTATGTGATAGAAATTGAAACCTTGCGAAGAATAAGTAGCACCATATGAGAATACAGAGCAAAATAAAAGGCAACAGTTTATTTTTCTTTAAAAAAAAGACTACTATACAATGCACATCAAATCCAAATAACTGAAAAAGAAGGACAATAATGACAAGAAAAACTCCAACAGCCATTGAACTGCTATAATAGAAGGGAACCCAACTACTGACCACTGGTGCCAACAGCAATAAAACAAAACCAAAAGCAAGACAAAAAAGACGCCATCTTTGAAACTCTGCACAAACCACAAAAGCCAAAGATAAACATCAAAAGATGGAGGGAGACAGACAGATAAATTAAACCCAAGCACCAGGAGATAAATCCCTGACCTTTATCAACTGTTACCGTCACATAACCAGCAATTTTATCAAGAAACTTTACATCAACATATCTGTCCTCCTAAGGTGACATTACAGAGCTCCAGAGCTCCTTGTGGATAGTTTTCCATTCATCGGTTTCACATTGACATAAACCACATGAAGCATTCCTACAAAACACTTTCTATGTGAGATACTATTTTCAATCAGCATAACTATCACGTTGAAGTATCAGCAACGTTACACGGACTCTTTGTATTTTGAGAGGTACCCATGTCGACACAACACAACACGGGTACGGAATACAGCCAGGATACGGGTAAATACAAACAGATACGATTGATTTTCTTTTCTATTTTTCATGGCAAAAACAAAGGAGAGGAGGAGGAGAGACAGAGAGAGAGACATGGCTCGGGACCTCATTGTCGTCGCCGTTCATCATCTCCGTCTTCTGTATTCATCTTCGTTGATGGCTGCTAGGGTTATATTAAAGGGTTTGGTGCATTTGAGCTTATTTAGGATACACTTTGGTTTGTTAATAAATGGGGCTTCCAACAAAAATTATCAGGCTATTGGGTGGGCTGGCTGGCTGGCTTTTAGAGCATCTCCAACGTTGAATCAAAAATTTCATCAAATTTGAGTAAAAATTTGATGAAAATCATTGATTTGATACCCCGTTCACTTCAATACTAAAACTAGAATTTTCATTAGATTTTTTCACATCCCCGGTTGTCCTGGAGGACATCCGGGATGTCCTGGAGGTCATCCAGATATGAACAAAAAAGGCTGTCAAAGTTGCTCTTGGTGGACATCGGAGGATGTTTGGCCCAATGATAACAATTTAAATTTGATGAAAGATGAAAACCTCCATTTGATGAAAGTTTTGGTTCATCCCTCATCTGATATGAGTTTGATAAAAGGGTTAAAGATTAAACAGTTGCCGTTTTTCATCAAATTTAAATTTGATGAAATATTCGATGTAGCGTTGGAGATGGTCTTACATGAGCTTTTCATGTTTGGGACTAATACTAATTAAGGAGTTGGAATTTAACTTATATCCATGGAAAATAAATTATTCATTTTTTTTAATAACGTTATATATAATTTTTATTCAATATTTTTTAACTACAAATGTGTAGCATCATCATAAAAATATGTAATCATTTTGTGCTATAAATTATTGCAACTTCATCAAAAAAATACATAATATTTTTTTGACACATCCATGTTTAGCTGTATCCATGTACCCGTGTCTAATTTTGGGTACTTTTTAGATGTACTCATGTATCCCTCATCTAGATGTTTTTTGCCGAGTCCAACCCCTAGATATATACCCGCACCCGACACTTGTACCCGAGTCCATGTAACGTAGAGTATCAGGGAGAGAGAGCGTGGGAGTTAAAGAGTCAAAATTCAAGGACATATCACTTACTGGTGAAAACAAAACTGAATTTTGTTGTGCAGTCTCTCAAGAATAACTGCAGATGGGACCAATTTAACCTGATATGCACTGGCATAACTCCCAAGTTCCAATCTTGACTGACCAGCAACTCGAACGCGTTTTCTTTGGAACCATGAGAAGATGATGCATAACCAGTGAGGGGAGATGGAGTGACATCAGTATCTGGAATTTCCAAATCAATGCCTGTATTATTAACATTTAGAGATAATTAATTATCAAAAAGAAATATATTACCAACAAAAAAAGGGAACATTGGAAGTAAGTAGCAAAACCGAGATAGAAAAGAAATGATGTGTTCTAGGAATTCCATGATAGTCATCATGTAACACATCCCTTAAATTAGTATTTCCCGCACCACATTACTCGAATGAACCAAAAATTCAGCCTTTGAAATGGCATATTCTGGAAATGTCATATTCTAGTTGGACAAGCCCAACCACCCATATAAAAGTTAATTATGTTGTTGTTGACCTAATAGAGACCCTAATTCTATTAACAACTATGAAATTTCCAAGTTACAAAACTTGGGAGATCTCATGTAAATGAAACTCTTTTACCTACGTAAAGCACATTTAATATAATCATGAGGTTAAAACATTCATCTCATGAATCACGTCCATCATATATGAAAACCTATGAAGCAAATGCACTCCATCTAGCCTAACGTATTAGTGTTCAACACGTCTAGGACACAGACAAGTTCGAACACGTGGCAAACACATGTCAGACATGCCCTCTCTTGTATCACACTTTTGTTCACTTCTTTTAGTTGCTGGACACACCTCCGACACTCTCTGAACACTTCTTAGACACGATGATGGCCAAAAATAAAATAAAAAAATCACTGATTTTGTTCATGCTACCTGTAGGAACTCTAGATCTGTGATTCACAGAGAAAGAGATGAAGGAAGAAGTCACACAAGAGACAATAACAGTTTAAGAAGAAGCATACTTACCTGGTTCAACTTCATCTTCTTCGATAGAGGCATCCTGGGTTCAGATTCATTTTTTATTTTTTTTCCACTTAATGGTGTAGACTCTCTTTTTGTTGGTCTGTTGTACATTGTTATGGGCTTTGTGGGTGTTCTATTCTAAATTGCCACAGACCAAATTCATTGTGCCTGGCTTTCTACTTGGACTACGTCAAGCAGGTTTAAAAATCAAGCCCATCATGTCAAAGCATGATGTGGAAAAAACTATATTGCAAACCAATCCAAGAAAAGAAATAAGCAAATAGTTTATTATAAATAAATCATATCCAATAAAAAATTTTAAAAAATAAAACAAAATATTGATTTAGTATTATTTTCTAAATTCATGAATATTGTAATATATATGACATAAATATATAAAAATATTATTTTTCTCATGTATCCCCCAACGTGCCGTGTCTTGAAATTTTGAAAATTGTCGTGTCGGCGTATCCGTGTCTTTGTCCCTGCTTCTTAGATGAAAACATTTCAAATAATAAAGCATGAACATAACATTTATTCCAATAAATAAATAATCAAATACATGAATCTAATTGGCTTAGAAACATATACCCTATGAAGCACGAATACTCCAACGTATGTGTTGTGGTGTCAAAGAGGAGAACACAGAGGGGACTCGTGTGTCCCTTTATTTAATTACTTTTTTTTCAAGGAACACCTCAACTAGTTTTTTATCCCCTTTTCTTAGTTCTTTTTATGCATGTTGGATGTTGAATGATTATTACTTTTTGCTTAAATTTAATTGATTAATAGATGTCGATAGTGTGGTGAGGTTTCTTTGCAGTCTTGCTTTCTATTGATTTTTCGTGTTGCCATTGATCAAGAGGTTGTCGTGGCGTCTTATCTAGATGGGGTTGGAGGTGGGGTGGTTTGGGATATTATATTGCGCTGGCAAGTTCAGGATTGGGAGGTTGGACAGTTGATTGATTTACTGAGTTTCTTGTACCGGGTGCGGGTTTAAGGGGGTAAGGGAGGATGTCTTGGTGTGGGGGGGTCAAGTGCAAAAAGGTGTTTTCTCGATTTTGTCGTTCCAATAGGCTTTGTCTAGTGGTGTTTGTAGACATCCCATTTTTGACCGCCCTTAAGATTTAGGCACCTCACATTGAACACTCGATGATGAAATACTACGTTGTACAAACGTTCAAGTTCTTCAGCAAGAAGCCTCGGTTTTAAGTCACAAAGCCTAGAACCTTACACCCCCTTTGGACCAAAACCATTTTTTTTTCTAGCCTGACCACCTAGAGGCTTGCTAGCCAAAAGGTGGCCAGCAGGCCAACTTTTAGTAGTCGGCCGTCCCCCTACATGGCCAGCCGGCCAGGTTTCCCGGCTGGCAGATATTTTGTTGCCAGCTGTTCCCATAGGTGCATGCACTGCACCAGCTGGTTCAATCCAGAAATTTCCAACGAAGGCACATGTTTTTCTATATATAATTGATCATCCCTCTTGATTTTAGGTGAGAAAAAATTGCCAAAGCTCAAAAACTTGTCAAACACTCTCTCTCTCTATCTTGCAATATACATACACTATACATACACTTCCTAAACCAATATTTTGAGGCTCCTGAGATTATTGAGCTAAAATTTCAGCCCTTGAGAGTGAACAATTTGTGATTTGTGAACCAAAGAGTGTACTCTCTTCAAAGATATAACTCTTGCTATCTCTTGCTTACTCTGTACCATTCTTTTCCTCGCTTTTTCACACTGTTTTTGGACTGGTTTTGTGGGCTGAAACTTGTGATTTACAAGCTACCCAAGGTGGAGGGATTAACCACCCTTTCATGCACCTCATTACATAGTTTTTTATCCTTGTATTGCCCACTTGTTTCCCAACTTTTAGCTACTGATTTTCAGAGTTTTTAGAGACTAAAATATGTGATTTTAAGGTCCAAAAAGTGGAGGGGTCACCCCTCCTTAGGCTTGTTTACTAGCTTTCTTCTTCTCTTCTTGTTTTGCTTACATTTTCTAGCCTTTCAAACCACTTTTTCAGCACTGTTTTTGCTGTTTTAGGGGCTGTTTTAATCATTTACTTAGTTTATGCCTAAAATACTATACTTGTGTTATTGTAAGTCCTCATAGATTTGGGGGTTTAGGCCTTAGACACCAATCTATTTGAATTGATAACTTTTCATTACTTATTTTCCATGTTAAGAGTCCCACTTTAATAATCACTTTTGCATAATCATCTCTGCAACCTCCCTCCATTCTTTGCTTGTTCGATTAAAGAGTTGTGTTTAACAAAAAGTTGTTCAAACATAAGAAAGAGACCTTCCATGCTTAATGGATTAATCTCTTCGAAGGTTCATTACAAAGGCATTATATCTCTCTTATGCTAAGCACAACTTCTTGTTTGTCATTTCTCTTTGTCACCGGTGCATTTACTTCTAAGGGACTAGCTTTCTAGCTTAGACCCTTGGAAATCATTAAGGAAAGTATCGTTATAGCTTGTTATCAAGTTTGGATTTAGAGTCCTTATCGCTCATTTTGGGTTTGGCTATGTCATTATCACTCTTTTGAGTTTGACTAGTCATTATCGCGTATTTGGGGTTTGACTTGGAATCCCTTATCGCTTGTAAATGAGTTTGATTCTTCCTTTGTAATTTCCCTCGAAGAAAAGTGTTTGAAAAGCTCATTTCTCGGGTTAAGTCAATGCTTGATACCCTTTATTGCTTTTGGCGTATTAGTGGACGTAATTAACCTTTTGGACAAAAATGATATTAAAATCGGAACAAAAATGGTAAACAAAGTAATAAATTGCGTCTCGGATCATTACATAGTCTTTAGTGATGTTAATGATTCAAGAAGCAATGTCTACCACTTCCCTTGAGGTTACTCCATGATAGGGGAAACGTTTTGTTGGTCTTTTATTTCCATTCATTGATCTTTTGTCCATCGGTTCATAGATCATCATGGAACGACGTTGCAACAATTGATGGTTTGTAGACCGATTTTACTCCTCCCTTGATCAGTTTCATGATAGGGAGAGGCAGAGAGGACAAACATTCCCTAGAAACACTCTGTTTTTGCTCTGTTTCTTTTCTGTTATAGCAGGGGAGAACCTCAAAATAGTGGCCGGCCGGCCACCTTTCTAGTTAGCCGACCACTTTTCAAGGCCGGCCGGCCACTCCATTTTACGCAAGCAGTGTGATTTTCATGACAGAACAGAACAGAACAGAACAGAAGCTGGGGCAAAAATAGATTAATTTTCTGACTGCAAACAGAGGAGTTTTCAAGCGGATATTCTCATTCGTGCGCGTGTGACTCTTCAATTTCCGCGACTTGTTTAATTAATGTTTAGATAGTAATATGTTGTACTTAATTAGTAGTTTTATTCGAAACTTGTAATAACTAGTTCATTAGCGTTAGTTCATTTATTTGGCGTTGTAATATTTAGTTTTTTTATGGGACTTAAGGCTTGGCTTGGTTTGGTTTGGTTTGGTTTGGTTTGTAATATTTAGTTTAATTAGGACATTCATTCAAACCCTCTTGTGTGAGGGCCAATTTGTAACACTTGTAATATTCGTGTATGTCTTCCAATCCCCATTCTTTCTCCCCTTTATTTATACGCTTATAATGGTAGCATCATGTTTTACATTCTCATATCATTGCCATGCTTAATATCCTTCTTTTTTTTTTTTTTTGCATGCATTGGGTTCGGTTCATCATACTAACTTGTTGGCATTCCTACTTACTTGAATACGTGTGTACCGCATGCTATCAAATTGATCCATATGCCATGATTCATAAATTGAACCTCATAATTGCATTTCGTATGCATTGCATTAGGCACTTGCATATTAGAGCATGAATTTTTCTAACTATTTTCTTCTATTTTGGCTTGCCTCAGCAATTACATATATGTTTATGTTGCCATATCAAGCATGTTACCATGAGGCTAAGTGCTTAGTTGATATATCTCTTGAATGTCAGTGGATGAAGGTTTTTTTGCGCTTAAGTTGGAATAATTTGATACATGTACATATGAGCTTACCTTTTTGAGTAGCACATATTCAAACTCTTTCAAAATAAACATAAAATCAAAGCATTCCAAAGTGGGCGAAATAGTCTATATTTGTGTGTCTCACATAAGAAAGATAGCATAATAATCAAAACATGAGCATATACTGTATATAAGATTCACATCATGATTAATAGAGACCGATCTTTGATCGGGTGAGTGGGGTGCTCAATTCATGACATTCCCCTCTCATACCTAAGTTCCTGAGCCGAGACACTTTGGTAACGACGGACAAGTAACCTTTAGGCACGAGTCACAAGTTTCCCAAATTTCTCAAAAATATTTAGGTGGCGATTCTGAAATTTAGCAATGCAGTTCATTTTTGGCATTTCC